ATTAGTGTCAGACGGAGCAACCTAAATAGAAAATTATGGTCTGAACTGGGAATAAGCGGTGAAAAAGATAGTTTAAAAAACAAATTTAACCATCCTTTCGAAGATAAAAGACATATTTACGTGTTCTCTGATGCACCCCATCTTCTCAAGAATGTACGGAATAGATTATACAACAAAAAAAGTTTAAGAGTAAATATCTTATAATTTTATGCATTATAAAAATGATTTAAAACCTAATTCTCTCAAATAATTTATAGGAATCACCAAAAAAACCCTATATTAGATGGAATGATTACGTTGAAGTCTTTAACAATGATTTGAAAAATAGTTCTGATGCACCAACTAAAGTGTGCCCTAAAATCACTCATAGGCATATATTAATTGATAATTTTAGTAAGATGAAAGTTAAATTGGCTGCACAAGTGAATATGTTTTAATAGATTTTTATTGAACAGTTTTATCAATATTATTGTCAATAAATGTATGTGTTATTTAGATTTTTAGTAACTCAATGGCCAGAGGAATTGAATTTTACAGGGAGTATGCTAAAATAGAGAGCTTAAAAAATAGTTATGAAACACAATCATTCACTGATCGATTTAACAAATTGTTTGATGCTTTAAATCGAAAACACCCTGCAGAGGGCATACAAATAAATAGCAAAGACTTTGAGGTTTTCTAAATAAAATACAATTATAATAAATAGCCCAAATGTTATGTTTTTATTATAAATTTATTTAATTAGATTTTAGAAGATAATCTTAAATGGCTTGATAATTGGGAAGACCAACTAAATAAACAAAATATTTCCAAAGATGAATTTTTAACTAAATCAACTGCGGATGGTTTAAGGGTCACTATCAAGTCAACTATTGAGCTATCAAAATATTTATTGGAGGAATGCAAATTTAAATATGTTTTATCTGCTAAATTTAATCAAGACCGACTAGAAGTAAAATAAGAACTGAATTTTTAATATAATAGTAATTATTAGTAACAATATTATTAGTTTTTATTAGTTTTGCCAAATTCAACTGAAAGTTTTTACCTTAAAAAGATACACAAAAAAAGAATTTGAAATAAATATTTTAAAACTAATAGTATAGTTTCTACATACATAATATTATTATAATATATTATACATACTTATTACATTTATTGTATTGTTAACTAGCAATTCTTTGGTATGGCCAGACAGGTCAGTGGGCCGAATGACCACCCCTGTTCAACCACATTTTTGCAAATTTATAAGACATTATCTGTATATTCAATATTAAAACCGCCTAAAACCGGTAATTGTATGATTTTGGATGATACAACACCCAAAATTACAATTAATGATCTGAAAACCGTATTTAATGACAATACAGATGAGCGTACTTCAAAGCTTAACTCAATGAAAAGTAAATTGGATTCATTAGCTGTAAAAAAAACAGATATAAATACTGTTTTTGATGAAGACATTCATAATTATTATAAAGCTGACATAAAAGATTGTGTAATTTATTATATATGTGGATATATCACAAAAAGTTTCTCAAAATCTATTACATGTGATAGATGTAGGACTGCAGTAATAGGTACTGTGTCTATACAAACATTTTATCTAAATAAACTGTTGGAATTTTGTTTGTTTTTAGGTAAAAGATGTTATTCAGAAAAACCAGAAGCTGACCTTATAAACTTGAAATCAAGAGGTGGTTTGACTCATCCTAATAAATTCATATTCAAAATATTATCAAATGTCGAGAATTCATTTTTGAAATTTTCTGAAAGCATTGATGTTTTCGATTTAACTATTGATCATTTTTTGGAAAATTATGATCCAATAGATTTTCCATGCACTCATCATAAAAGTGAAGTACTAATGTTCATAATATCTCAATATATTATTATGAGAATGCGACAATATACGCATATGATAAACACAAACCAAATTAAAAAAAATGCAAATAAAAAAAAATGTTCAAAACTTGTAAATACCTGAAAATAAAAAATTGTAATTGGTAATATTGGTATATTTATTAACATAAGTAGTTAACAGTGTCTAGAAGGGTTACTGTAATGGATGTGTTAAATTTGAATTCAATGATGTAAAATCATTGTATAGGAAAAAGTTAAAAAAACTATTATGAACCTGACGGTCTGTCAGCCTATACTACCAAGTCTATTTTATATTATTTCTAATAAATAATTTATTTTTCTATTAGACATATTATGATATGAGGTTGAATTAATTTTTTACAAAAAAATTCGGTTTGAAAACGACATTGAGTATTTGAGTGTAATGTGTATAAAGAATAAATATTTAGTCAACAGATGGCGCTGAAAACTTCAAGAACACATAGCGACCCCCCGCACTTTACCTCTTGTACATACATTCGTGGCCGTGATAAGAGGCTCGTTTCCAGTCCATTATATCTTAGTCCGTGGAAAAGACGCATATATGCGTCCATAGCACCACAGTGTTGCCTACGTTGGACGCATATATATATAGACGGGTGATTTTAGCGCCCCCAGTGGCGTTTTTTCGGTAGGGCTATATAGTGTAGATGGCAATACCGAAAAACGCCACTGGGGGGCGCTAAAATCACCCATCTAGTTTCGCTGGCCTTGCTATAATCGTAGTGTATAATATCATAGACCGTAGAGGCATAGACGTTGTAGACGTCTGCGTAGACGGATAGTCGTTCAGTATACCTAAAATAGATTATGTGTGTCTGCTGGAATCTTTCTCACCTATTACTTTTCCATTTTCTTTTTGAATAGTTGTAAATTTGAACTTTTTTAAAAATTACTGAATTGCTAGTAAAAATTGAATTTGGTTGTCACTGCCAGTAAAAGCTGTATTTAATTCATTTGTATACATGTTGATGAATTAGATACGTCAAACAATGGATCAAAATTTAAGATATACTCTGACGTACCTATAGCAATACGTGAAAGATTTCCTTTTTGTAAAAATATATAGATTTAAATAAGGAATCCAATAATTTATAATCATATTATACAACAGCGTTGTTTTGCCACACCCCGATGGCCCTATAATCAAACCACGTGAAGGTATTTCAAATAATGATTGTTTTTTATTATCATCTTCAATAAATTTTTTTACTACAACTTTATTCATTTATATAAAAAAAAATATATATTTACTAATATAAATATTAGAAATGGAAAATATTTTAAATAAGTATGATGACAATATTATAAGTTGTCAATATGAATCTTATATACCTCAATATACATCAGAATTAAATAAACCTAACCGAAATACAACAATTATAATAGATGGTAAAGATAAATTTCTGAATATTAAAAAATCAAAAATTCATATATCATTTAACTGTTTACAAGAAGATGGTAGTAACTATCCAGAAAAATCTAATGTAAAAATAAGTGATAATGGTGGAGCATTNTTAGGGAAAATATATCGGAATTTGAGAAAATATCATCTACAGATATAAAATGTGTTTGGTCTGCTAGAAAAGAAACGTCAGTACAAAATTACAAACCTAGGCCTTTAATAGATACAAATTGCATTAAAGCACATGACTTAAATATGCCATCAACAGTATCTGAAATAGATATTTTAAAAACTTTAATACAAAAAAATCCAAACAGTGCTTTAGCAAAACATAGGTATACAATAAAACTAAATTTAGTTGTGTTATGTAATTTTTTTAAATACATATTTTAATTTTATAAGAGTATAATAATATATTTTTTTTAAATTTAAATTTATTAATATTTAATATTTGTATAGCATTGGTAGAAGAATGTTAGTTGATGGTTTGAATGTTGCTAATGACAATGATGATGTCAAATTAGAAAAATATATTGCAAATTGTATTTTAAACAAATCCGTTCAGTCAGTGGTTTTACTTCAGCTATGTTCTTACACAGAAAATGTAAACGAAATAAAATCTTGTTGTAGAAATACATATAATTTATTATTTGTTTGTGATATTGAGGAAGTTTATTTTAAATCTAAAATAAATAGAAGTAATTGGAATGTAGAAAGAAAATATAGAATAACTGGGAGTCGGTGCTATTCCATTTATACTTATAGAGGCAAATTAATATATTCTTTTGAATTTTAAAACCACATGTTTTAAATTATTTTTTCAATAAATCAAATTATATTTTAGGTACTGATTGGAAAAAGAAAGCAACACATTATTTCAATTCTAAAAAAATAAGTAATGATTATACATGTCATGGAGAATATGAAGAAGGAAATGCTCGCATTGCATATATATCAAAAACTGGGGCAATAGTAGAAGAAACTGGTATTATTGTTTCAAATTCAAATCCATGGCTGTCCTACTCACCTGATGGTGTAATAATGGATAACCATGTACCTAAAAAATTATTGGAAATTAAATGTCCATATTTAGGTAATTTGTAACTAAAATACAATAATCATTTTCACATTTTAATTAAATATACGTTTTAATTTAACGTAGGAAAAGAAAAATCTATTGATGATATTATTAAAACATGTAAATTTATTAAAATCGAACAAGGTGTTATCAAATTAAAATGCAAACACCAATATTATGCACAAGTACAATTTGGAATGGCACTTTTAAATTTAGAATCTTGTGATTTTGTAATATATGCTAGTCAAGACAACAGTCTGAAAATAATTAATGTTCCGTTTGATTATAAATTTACTTATAATATGTTACAAAAAATTAAAGAAAATTTTTTTAATAATATGTTACATGTTGTATGTGAAACATTGTAAATTATAAATTGTTATGAATGTGACTCATATATTATTATTTATTACCTTATTAATGATATTTATTTAAAAAATAACATAAGAAAATATCTTCATAGGTACATGTAAACTAATAAGCTTTATACAAGATATTTATTATCAGATAAAATTGATGGACCCAAATTGACAATAGCAGCTATAACAATCAGAATTTCATGAACAATATTCATTAAATTCCAGGGAATTTTATTTGATAATATTTTGAAAACTTTTAATCGTTGATTACTGCGCTCAATGTGAACTCTGGCTGATGCAATTGCAACATTTGTAGTAGCTTCATCCTTCGAAAATTGTTTCTTTTTCTTTAAAAATGGTGGTCTAATTAATTTAATATTATGTAAACTAGTCTCAGTTTCAATCAGAAACCCCTTGTCAGCCATTATGGCGTCTTGCCCAGGTATTAATTTTTTTATTAAATCTGACTGTTCAAATATTGCTTTGTCTGACACTCGACCTCCATAAGCTTTACTTATGAAAATTAAAATACCTCCAGGACTAATACCAGTTAAAAATTTTACTGTATGCTTTCCTTTATAGTGTGAGTATGTTCTTATTCTACAACAAAGACATTTAGGTTTTTGAATTTCCATTTCAGTGCAATCAATGATAATTCGTGTGTCTTGGAATAATTTAAAACATATAGGCATGTTTTTCAAACATTCTTCTTTTGAAGGCCACGGTATTGCTGGTTTTAAAATCAATGATAAATACAATATTGTTTCTTGAAAAATATCCTTACAAGTTTGTGAAGAAATGGTACGAAATAAAATTGAAAGCACTACATAACTAACATCTAACTTCAATTTCATAAACGTCAATATTATCCTTTCTTTAGAACTTAATTTTCTGGATCTTCTAGTACAATTGTGTTTGTCATATAAAGACACAATTGTTTCAAGTAGTTCAATAGAATGAAGTCCAGTTGCAGTATTTAACTTACAGTTTGTGTCAAATATACTGACAAAAGGAATAATAAAATCACCACTTTTTACCTGTACACTCTTGTCACATTTACATGTTTGTAAATGTGAAGTAGGTTGGGATAAACCACTAATTATTTCTTCTACTATTTTAGGATTTTCTTCATTTGCTTCTATTATAATATTCTCTTCATTAGATTGGCAAAAAGAATCAGAAGTTGATGGTGTTTCTTCCAATATGTCTCTATCTCTCTTTCTTTGAATTCTATTTTGTACATATGCATTTACAGGTAATTGCAATGGCAAATTTTTTGAGGGTATTGCATTTTTCTTTAATGTCTTTTTTTTACATGGAACATCTTAAAAAATAATCATAGATTAAGAAAATGTATTGTTATTAAAAAAAAATATATTGTATTAGGTACCTGGTAGTATGTAATCGTTTTTTGAAAAATGTTTGGAGCATACTTTCATGGCATTTGTTAATTTTTTTCCAGACTTTAACATCTTATCCCAAGCCTTTCTTATGTCGACCAATTCCTCTATACCAAGCTTGTTTACAATTTTGACTGTTCTTGAACCTTGTTTTGGAATTAAATGAAATGTTTATCTTTATCCCGGTCAGCTCTCGACGAACAGCCATATACACAACAATTAGTTCTATTCGTGGTTTGGTCAGACATAACTATTAATTATATTACTTAAATTAGTATAAGTAATTTAATAAGAAAAGTTTAAATTATTGTTTAAATATTAATTATAATGATTTGCTGAGTAATCAAAACACATTATCACTGTNGTTTGACAATGTAGTTGAGACCGGACAGTTAAGTTTTATCCTTTCTTATAAAATATCTCAAGATCATATAGAGATGCTATTTTCGGCTATTAGGTCAAAAGGAGGCTTTAATAACAACCCGAAAGCTTCACAGTTTGAAGCTGCCTATAAGAGATTGTTGGTACGCAGTGAACTATCTGTCTCCGAAAATGCAAACTGTTCAGTCCTAGATAATACTAATATTCTTCATGTATCAAGTAGTAAAAAGAAAAAAGTAGAAAACTTTCATGATATACTTTGTGTTGAAGAGGAAGATAATATTAATGATGAAGATGATCAACACAATGAAATAGAAGATATAAATGTTTATAAAGAAGATATCATTGAACATATATCAGGATTTGTTATAAAACAATTAAAACGAACAATTAATTGTCAAATATGTAGTAATGCGCTTGAAGATAAGACTAAACACCATACACTGATCGACATCAAAAATCGAGGAGGCCTCATAAAACCAGCAATTGATGTAATTACAATTTGTAAATTAACTGAAAAAACATTTGTATCTAGAATTCACGAAGTGCCAAAACATTTAGAAGATCCAATCAATTTTTTATTAGTTAAAACAATGGCTAATATTAATATAAAAAATGTGTTTAATTGTTTAAATGAACATATTTTATCTCAGTCTCCAATTAACAACCATGTTCTACAAATTATAAGACTTATTATAAAAAAATATATTGTCATTAGACTACACCACCACAACAAAGAGCTAAGCCAACCGAAATATAGAATTAGATCACACCTGACTAAAGTCATATTATTTAAACACCAATAATATTTTATTCAACAGTTATCTTATTGTATTATATTTATTATATTAAAATATGTATTATTTATATTTTATATATTACTATATTATTATAATATGTATTAAAATCTATATTATATTTCATTATATATTACCTAGGTAAGTATATTATTATTGATATTAGGTAGGTATAAGTATTATATTTATAATATGTTTTAATTAAAAAAGTGGTCTTCATTATATTATAAGCTTGAATTAATAAAGTTGATTATGATGTAATATAAATACTCACCAGTCACCAATGATTTTTACTTTTAGTAGCTGTAACACAAAAACTAGACCTGATGGAATCAGAATATGACTTTCAGACTTTATAATGAGAGTGCAGCTCTATCCTCAATGGTAGCTTCTAACTTATTACAATATTCTGTTTACCATTCACCAGTGTAAGTAAGTATTATGATAATTATGTATTGTAATTTATAATATATTATTATAAAAACTAAAAATGTAAAATATTATATAATATTTTATTACATTACCAGCTAATACATTATTAGTGTTTATTATTATAATATAATTATCATAAAACAATGATAATACGCTAATACGCATGGCTGAAAAAACTTAATGCCAATTGTCCTCCATGATATGCCCAAACCCATAGTTCTTTCTCTCTCACTCTATCTCGTCCCCATGAAATGTAGGCAGGGTGGTGTGGTAAGCGCTGTCCATTAGTTAATAGGTCTATGTACGCAGCACGGCTATTATAATTTATAACACCGAACGGCGAATACTCAATAATTCTCAAACCTCGTGTGCGGCGTTTCTGCGTTAGCGTTTATTAGTATTTGGCTTTTTAAAATTTGAATTGTGAACAATTGACAACTATTACCTACTGTAAACTGAACAGTTAAATGTACCTACCGTTGTAAACCGTAAAGTGTAAATTAAGTAATATTGTTAACAGTTAAATAAAACTAAACCTTACAGTGGCTACATCGATTTTTAGCTACCTATACGTAATTAATATTACATTTTATAATCAAAATTCAATTCAGTATAAGGTACGTATATTGGGTATTATTATTTATTATAGTAAAATTATTATTATTAATTTAAGGTAATTTAATCTAATCTAGATATTACTTTAAACTTCATTATTTTCTTTATTTTATTTATTTTGCAAACCAGTNATATAATATTTACAGTTTTTAAATATATTATATATTATATACCTTAATAAGATATTTATAAAGTTATTATATACTATTTAATATTTATAGTTATTAAATATTTATTTTTTGGACTATATTTGTCTGACAATGAAAATGTGCTCAGACTTTTTGTCCAACGGTAGAAAAGGAAGCCTGGTTTTTTTGTCCGATTATTTAAATTAATATGCCTAGGTAAATATTTATGGTTTAGTTCATTACCTAACTAGTTATATTTTATTAATTAATTAGTTATTTCTGCCATTAATGTTTGTTATTTAAAACCTACTAGGTTCATTTTGAGGAGAACCAATTTGAAAAAAACAGAATTGATGGATGGGTTAAGTTAAAATGGGACGCAGTTCCCACAATTTTTAACGTCCCAAATCCACCAAAGAGGGTGATGACGACCAGAAAATCAAAGTATAAGGTGTGCAAAAATATTTAATTATTAAATTAATTACCAATAGTTCAGTTAATTAGGTGATACAACCATTAATTAAATTACATTTACATTTTTTTAATAGAGACCTGTTACTGTTGAAGACAATGTTTCCTGCCAGATTGCAAATACTCTTCTTGTCAATGCAGATACTTCAAAAGACATAAGCAGTTCAAATGTAGAATCTGTAAGTACACTTCTACAGTAAAATCAGCTATTTTTTTAACAATGATTCCTGTAAAAATGTGTTACTTACTTTTAATTACAGTGTATTAATTGCCATGAGTTTATCAATGAAATTGCTGAACTAAAAAAACAAGTCGAAACATTGAAAAAAGAAACTGCTGAAAAGGAAATTGCTTTGAAGCAATTTTTAACTGACCAGCAAATAAATGTTCTTTCTAACAAAACAAATGTACAGCAATGGGATAATGAAACAATTATGAAATCATTAAAAATTCGTTTTGCTGTTGGTGTTCATGGATATCAATATTTAAGAGAAATGAACTTACCGTTACCCTGCTATAGCACCATAACTCGCCGACTACAGGGTCTTAAATTGGAATTTGGATTGTTTGAATCAATGTTAGAACCTTTAGCGTTTAAAGTTCAACAGTTGGAGAAAGAAGACAGGTTCTGTGTTCTTTCGTTTGATGAAATGGAAATTAGCCGCGAAGAATCATATGATAAGAACCGAGGTAAACGTTATGGAAAGATTACTCTTGGTAACACTAATAAACTTGGAAGTAAACTTTTATTAGTGTTGCTACGTAGTGTAAAGAATAATTGGAAACAAGTAATCGGTGCTCATATTACAGATGGGTCGCCTGCACCTGAATTAACCAAGCAGTTTATTTATGATTGCTTAGAGTTTTGTAAAAAAGGTGGTTTGAAAGTTGTTTCGCTATCTTCTGATATGGGAAATGAAAACAGATCACTATGGAAAGAATTAGGTGTAAAAATTCAAAAAACTGGTATTCGACAGAATTATTTTACTTATGATGGTAATAATGTGTTTATTATGCCAGATGTATGTCATTTGATTAAAAATTTAAAAAGTACTGCATTAAGGAGCACAATTAAATTACCTAAAGAATACTGTGAAGCAAAAGGTTTACCTACAGAATATGTGCATTGTAAGTTTGTGGCAGACTTGTGGAATATTGAACAGCGGAAGGATTCAAATAGAGATGAAGAACTTCGCTTACTGCATCATTTAAAAAGAGAAGTCATATATCCAAATAATTTTCAAAAAATGAATGTTGGGTCAGCTGTCCGATTTTTCTCTTTGAAAACTGCAGCTGCTGTGGAAACTGCTGTAAACTGTAACTTGTTACCTAAAGATGCACTAACCACTGCTCATTTTATTCGGTTAATCGATGAATGGTTTACGTTAACATCAAGCAAATTACGGAAAACATCAATAACAAAAAGAAACAAGGAAACAAAATATGATTTTCTTCAAAAACTTATTGGTTTAGTTGAACAGACTGAGTTTGGATTAAATGGTTGGAAACCTCTGAATGTTGGTCTCATCATGTCTTCATTATCCATTATTGAAACAAGCGAGTTATTGTTTTGTAACGGGTTTGATTTTATTTTGTGCCATCGTTTCACCCAAGATGCAGTCGAAAACCTTTTTTCCCAAATGCGTCGTAAGGCTGGACAAACTCCAAATGCAATTCAATCCCTCAGAGCCCTCAAAATGATACTAATGTCACAGTATATTTCTGATGTAAAACGTAGTAATTACATGAACGACAGCGATACATTTTTATTAAATCATTTTAAAAAAGTTCCTGAGAACTTCAATAGTACTTCTGTTGATATACTTCACCCAACTTATAATGATAAACCACTAGAATTATTAGATTACGTAGAAAACATTTCAGAGGCATTTAAAATTCTCCCTGAATATGATATGAATATTGTATTTCATTTGGCTGGCAGTGCCACAAATGCAATATTAAAAGTATCGTGTAATGAATGTTGTATGTTCATGTGCAACACCACAGAAACTAAAAGTCTTCCAGAAAAATACAAGTTTTACACAAAATCATTGAATAAAGGAGGATTGAAAGAACCTTGTCTTAATACAGTACTTTTAATACTTAATTGTGAATTAGTCTATAGAAAATATAAAACCCACTTTTTACATAACTCAAATTTTAATATTGTAGATGATATTTGTAATAACATTAAAATTAATTACCCGCTCTGTGAAAAAAATTACAATGTCAAACATAAGCTTATAAAACATTATTTTACTATCAGGTCTTATGCAACTTGTAATTTATCTGTTTGAAATAAACGAAAAAAGATATACGGAACAGCAACAGAAAAGAAGAAAAGAAATTAAATAATAAAGTTAATAATAATATTATTAAATAAAAATTATTATTTGAAGGACTTACAAGAATTTTAAAATATCCATAGGTTATTTTTAAATAAAATACAATAATTTGAGTCTGAACAAAAAAATTAATTCAGAGAAATACTTTTTGTGTACCTACTAGCAGTGTTGGTTAAATGACTTATTAAAAGTAATTTTGTTACAATTGCGTTAATTTAAATAAATTATAATGAAATTACTACAGAGTTACTGCAAGAGTAATTTAGTTACAGTAAATTGTAATTTGCATAACTTTACTATCATCATCCAACTTCACACCTTTTGATGATTTTTTTGTATTTTTAGAATTGAAATAGTTTAGTAAAAGATCCATATTGTTTTTTCTAAGATTCAGCTTTTCAATTTCTAATTTTAAATTAGCTATTTCTTGCTCAGCTTTCTGTTTGATATTATTGCAGTCATGATTGTTTTTCTATAAAAATTAAACAAAAATTATGTAGCATGGAAATCAGATACAAAAGTTATTATTCGTTGAATAGTTAATTTTCAATTGATAAACTAAATTAATTAATTAATAGTCATTACTCAAGAGGTTGTCATACCCGAGGATGTGTTGTCCTGCAATTCCAATTTTGTGTTGTTGGCTTAAATATTAGAGGGTA